GAAGGTCTACTCTTTGAAATTGTTCATCATCATCTCTTCCTTTGAAGTTTGTGGGTATCTTCCTTGGAAAACCCTCACGAGGCTACAACTCGTTCTACTAAAGCACGAGTCACAGGGTTTAGACCATTGTAAAATTGATAATGTGGATATTGTATTTGTAACTCTCTAAATCTTTCCCAATCTTCAAAAAATTCTTCGGTATGTTTTTGTCTAAAAGTTTGAATTTTGTTTCTTAACTCTATTGCATGTTCGGGACATGGGATTGAATTTAGTAAGGAATTTTGTGTTCAATTGATCTCATGTGTGGATAGAGTTTCCGGTTAAAGAATGTAACCATTGAGATGCTTTGTCATTTAGAGAGAACGGTAATAATCTTAAACGAATACCATAAATTCCTAATTTAGTTTCATTAAAAGTTGAGCATATTATTTGGACAAATTGATGTAAATGAGTATAAGGGTATTCTCGCTCACGACCAGAAAACTTAGGCAAAATGTTAATGATGCCATAGTGAAGTTTGAAATCAGTTCCATCTTTGAGTGCGGGCAAAACGATGCAATTAGGTTGTCCGGTAGATAAGAGAGCAAAAAGATGATGATGATGATTGTAGATGTAGAAGATATAATTAAAAGACGGAATATTAAATTGCATGAACAGTAATGATATGATTGAAAAGTAAAGAACTTGAACTTGAAAAGTAAATAGACTACAAATATAATCAATGGAACGCCTTCTTCAACATAAAATAATGTAAAACCTAATATGATAATTAAATTTAAGATCAAAGCATAATGAATTTTGTGACTCTCCTCTCCTTATATTGGGAGGAGTCCTACTAACCCTAAACTACTTGAAACTTGCTAGAAAAGAGTTTGCAATTTGTTAAATAACTTGTACAAAGCTTCTAGAGACAAAATTATGTGGAGCTTTTAGTTAAAACACGTGGAACATTCAGTAAAAATATTGGCCACAAATTCTTTCTAGAAACACGATTTCCAAAAAACCCAAAAATAACCAGTAGTAGACGCGGTCTGACAGGTTTCAATTAGGCACTTTGGTCTGGTTCCATTGCTGTTTTCTACAATCTTTCTTGACAGTCTTTAAGTAGGAAATGTGAGCTT